TAATCCTCAAGAGAATAGACAAATATTTTGTCTTCAAATTGACAAGGAACTGTTGAAACTTTGTAATGCAGCTATTTATTCAATGAGGTATTTATTTCATTATTCAGTACATCTGTAGTCTTTTTCCCAAAGAAACAGATGTATTGAATATGAAAGCAATTGTTTTCACACAAGAATTAAATATGAGGTTATCTCACTTGGGATCTACTCTTAGTTCTGATGAAACAAGGATGTCAATTAAACAACTTAAATTAGTTCTTGTCATTTGTTTGCACTTAATTACATCAGTAGAAAACTGCCTTTTTAAAAATAATTGCTGAAGGTCCATTATGCTGAGTGACTGACACCTTGTTTTTGAATGATTCAGAGCCTCAAAATATCTTATCAATTAATGTTTAGAAAACTGTGTACATATATTTCTAAATGTTCTGCCCACAGCTCTGTATATAATAGCTTCTTTGAGCTGAAATGTAAATAAAATTTCAGTTCTGTCCTACAAAGATCAGAATCAGTCTGGTTCTTCTGAAACAAGTTCACTTTCTCTGGAAACACTCGAGCTGCCAGCTCTGCCTTCAAGTAACGCTTCCAGTGTGTTGAATCTCGAGTCTATGTGGTCTTGTAGCAGCTCCATTTGCTGATCTAGCCTTCCCAAGATCCTCTTCTCTGCAGCAGCAATGTATCCCATGAGTCTCTGCTCAAGCTCGGCCATTCCACTGCGTAGGGGCATTTTGTCTGCTTGTCTGCACAGTAAATATACAAAAGGTTAGATTTAACTTGTGAAAGCTCTAATTAAAAGCTCACATAACATTGAGGGTAACAGCACGTACAGCATGTGGATTGACATGCTCTTCCCAAAATGGGAGAAATGTGTGCATGTGCTCACACCTGGTATTTTCAGAGGTGGACCCCTCCCCCTGATCATCTCTCCTCTCGGGGCCATACGCCCTCTCAGCAGCCTGTCTGTCTGCTGCCCTCATGAGACTGACATCCCTACACACTGCCCTTAGTGCACTGAGCATGCCCAATGATTCAGCTGATGCATTGCCCTCTGTGTGCTCAGCCCTGTCTGGCGCCCTCCCCATGCCAAACGAAGCCATCAGCTTGGCCAGGGTGTCCGTGTTGGGTGGTTGGGCAGTGGCTGGTGACCCATCACGAGGTTGAGTCTCAAATCTCGGGAGGTTGCTGGATTCCGTAAGGGCAACATCGCCCCCACTCGTGGCTGCAGGAGTCTTAGCTGCTTGCTGCTGGAGTGAGCTGGCTTTGGAGAAGGCAGAAAGCAACCCTGCCATGTTGGATGCAAGCGAAGCCTTAGGGTCTCCAGATGACGACAGCTGAGCTCGCGCTGTCTGTTGGAAATCATCAAGTACAGAGGCCTGGTTCTGTAGAAATCAAATTCATTTAATATTCAAGATCAGTACAAAAGAAAGAAAAATGTTCTAATACAAAAGCTGCTTCAGTGAGAACTCGGACATTTTTTCCTCGGTTCTTTCACTTCCCACTTCCAAAGAATTAAAAAAGCCCACACATTGCTGTTTAGTAAATATCTTGATGGCAAATGGGATTTGAAGATTGTCACTCTAATCACCTTCAAAGGCATAGAAATATTAAAAAGTAAGCAAGATTCGCAATCTCAAGTACACCCCTATTTAAACCCTGGCAGATTCCTATTTTGCTTTGACACTGCAGCCTCTTTTTTTTTCTCCACTAGGTCATCCTACCTTCTGATACTGCTCAATCGTCTGCATCAGACTCTGTACATTGGCTGATATAGGCTGCTGTAGCGTGGACATGATATCCCTTACTTTGGCCATATCGATGCTACGCCCTCCAGTCATACTATAAGATCCCTCCTCTATCCTTGTGGTGGTGATCTGAAGTTGGCTTAGCATCAATTGACATTTGTCAGTCAACGAAACTAACTAATATGAAGAAATGCAAAGGAAAAGGAAGAAGTGAAAAATTTCTTTAATTCACTACTTAATAGGAAAAGCTACATAGGTAGAGTAAAATATGATTGGATAAAGGTCTAGACTTCTGTCTTATATACATTTCAAACATGACTATTCAAAGCAAGTTTCAATGGGAATTTCCACATTTCTGAAATGAGGTGCCGACTACCAAATAAATGTTTATACAGTTGTCTGCTCTGACAAGCTCGGCAAAGAACATAAATACAGAGTGCCCCTTGTGACAGTATTAAAAAAACCCAGTTAAACTGAGGGAAGAAATGAAACAAAGGAAAAAGGTTTAGCAACACTTTCCGTCAAGTCTCTGAGTAGGTAACCTTTACCTTCAATCTGCATCGTGGCATGGGATTGTCAATGGATAGGCTTGCAGAATACGCTATCATGTTTGTTTGTTGGTCTCCACCTCTTTCAGCAAGTCTCTCTCCCCTGACTGTATAGCAGTACGAGTCCTGATTGTCATACAATTCCACGTGACGAGCATTGCTGATGATTTCGACTGACCTGACGGCGATGCGTGGTTGGCAAGAGAACACCAGCTGGCAAGATGGTGTGTCCCCCTCATTGCTGTCATTAGTTGATGATGGGGGAACTAATTTGATACTGTGTGTTGATACTCGTGGCAGATGTGGACTGCAGGTGACATAAACCATAGGCCCAAATTATTAAAATGAACAAGACTTTTCTTGCACTTCTGATTTGGCAGTGGCAGGTTTGACGATTTCATGTCACAGATATCACTCCAATTTTTGTCTTAATTTTTTAATTTGGGAGTATATTTACACTATAGCAAGCTATCACTTGGTAAATTCACATAGTTATTTATTAACATAATTATTTTAAAAGCCTGTGTTTTATTTTCTGATGTATTGAGTGCATAAGAGTGACTTTGCACCATGCTAGAAAGGCACTGTGGGAAGGCAAATGGGGCAATGTTGGCTCCTTTTTCCTTCCCATAATGCTTTTCTGTCATTGCAAGATCACTCGGTATGCGATAAGGATTGCTGGCCTAAGTTGCAGTTATAGATAGGGCATTGCACGCCCAGGCCTACCTTTCATCTTCTTGTTGAATCTGCAAAATGCTGTTGATATCATATGGGCCCTGAACGTTCCATGTCGATGTTAGACGGACACTTTGGTGGTCCATTTCTACATCAAAAATGGCCTAGGCCTATGAGTATTAACGGTGACGACAGAACAGCTCCACTCCTACAATGTAGAACTGAATGTAAATAAGACAAAGGAAGTTATTGTTGACTTTCAGAAGACTCCACTAGCATTGTTCCCTTAGTTACTAATGGTTCAGAAGTTGAAAGAGTGCAATATTTTAAATTTCTTGGTATTAACATCTCTGCAAAACTGAAATGGGATTTCAATACGGATTGCTTGGTTAGGAAAGTTCAACAAAGACTGTTTTTCCTGAGACGGTTGAAGGCCTTCCATGTCAGCCAAAGACTGTCATTGAAGTTCTAAAAGTCAGTGATTGAGAGTGTTCTGACTCAGGCAATCATTATCTGGTGGGACAATGCTACAGTCGATGACAGGAAGTGTCTCAGCCGTATCGTATGCACTGCAAGTAAAATTATCAGATGCCAACTTCCATCACTAAATGATCTGTACCACTCAAGAGTAAAAAAGAGAGCTCGGTCCATTGTAGATGATACGTGTCATCCAGCCCATGCGGTCTGGAAATCGGCTTCGTTCACTTAAATCTGGGTCCAACCGCACACTGCAGAGCTTTTACCCAACAGCGATCCGCATCTTAAATGATAACATCTAGGTACATGTGGCTCCAGCTCTGGGCTGTACTTAAAAAGCATCCTTCACCTGTTGTGTGTTGCTCTAAGTATTAATTATAATATAATTTTAATATAAAATGTTTACTTTTGAGTAATTTACATGTCCGGTTTACTGTTTATAAAATTTACATGTCTGGTAAATGCTCATTTTAATTTAATTATTTAACTTTAATTATGAATTTGTAAGTTGTATACGGATGTATCTTTATGAATTTCTTAATAACTTTTCAGCACGCAAAGACGAAGTGCATTTCACAATGGTGACAATAAACAGTATCCATCTATCTACATGTATCTACACATGTACCGGTAGATGCGTGCCTAGTTCTCGGACAATTCACGTTTGCCTTTTTACTTGATTTGGCTCTTCCACGTTGTAAAGACAAACTATACAACAAAAGTAAGTGATAACAAAAGAATGTCCTATCCTTAATTAGTAACAGAACCGGCTTAAATGATGCAATTATAGATGACTGTCGGATAACAAAATAAACAAATTGGTCATACCAAAGAAGAAACAAGAACTTAAAAATTCTCGACTGCACGGCACCATTAAACTAACTAACTTGAGAACGTTGGGGGCGCCCAACAAAATTATTGCACACACGCTTCTTTCTTCACGGTTGTCGGCACGATAGTTTTTTACCATTAGGCCTAATCTCAATTGTAATGGAGATAAATGATTTTACTTACCGAAAGCCATGTTGTTCATATCTTTCACTTCATTGCGGGAGCATTTTTTCTAAGCCTAAAACTTTCACAAAGTGAATACTTCGGGTTTTTTGCTTTGCAAAATACAGAACCGGTGCAACCATGGTACAATCCTGCTGTATGCTTAATACGCATACGATTAGGACCACAATTGAACGAAGTCAACTTGGAATGGCCATGCTGTTGCACCTTACTTTATTGCAACAAGACATAAGATGAAACTAAGCAACAGTGTGGGAAATACCTTTGTCAAACATATAAAACACAAGCAAGTGTCAAGATATTCACCTCCAAAAGCTGTAAAATAAGTTCGAGGATCATTTCACAGATCAAAATAACTTATTACCGATTTATTTCAGGTCAGATTCAATGTTAATGTCACCTCGCTCACTAACTAAGTCATCTTTTTTTAAAAGAATAGCCAGCAAAACACTACCTGTTCCGTTCTTAACTGAAAAATCTCTTATCGCTGAAGTAAACAAATTAACAAGTTCGGGTTTTCATGACGTTGACGGCAAACGCTACACAACTCACAATTCCAAGTAAATCTGACGCTGTGTACACCTAATCAGTCCAGAAATTAAAACCATTGATGTAGAAAAACCAAGCACTATCGGCACTACTAAGTGCAATTTTCCACTTCATTCAGTTTTTCATCAGTTTTTAATCTTAAACTCCACAGTGAAAGTATTCTAATATCCATGATATTATGTGCTCCGTGTCACTTAAGTGCACTGGTGAGAAAATAAATAAACATATACCACAGTAACAAAGATTGTAATTCGAGTGAGCAATGATATCTTTCGACTAACAGTCAAATTGCCTTTTCACACACTAAGCAGCCTGTATGTATGGCACATTAATGACGTCAGTTCTCCTCGAACTGATACATTGCCAGTGGCGATGGCACCCAGTTATTATCCCCTCCCCTCTTGCAGGCAATACCGTAGCCCAAGCACACCAAGAGCAAGCCACTCAGGATGAGCACGATCACCGCCGTGGTGCCAGCCTGTTTACGCTCCAACACCAGCCGGTTGGCCTCGGACAACACGCAGGGTAGGGGCGGGGGTATCAGCTCGCTGGACGTGCTGATCATGAAGCCGTGGATCCAGTCCTCCTCGTTCAACTCTGTTACCTAGTATAGGTCAAGGTTGAGAATAAACGCGCATTTTAATGACGATGTGATGAGAAATAACAGACGTTAAGAATACGCTCTCCTAAAAGAAGTCATATTTTGCATCATTTTTCAAATACTGATAACAAATCTCCTTAAAACTTTCTCAAAAGCTCATTCACATTTGTCCTTGTTCCCAAGTTCATGTATGTTCATATACTTACGCCGCCTTCTTCCCGTATGACAGTACGATCCCAAGTGGCTTGGTCGATCTTCAGTCCTTCAGATATCAACTCTTTCAAGTAAGTCGCAACAAAACAAGGATTCAGACTCGTTGAGTTTCCTTCCGTCAAAAAAGTGTCTGTCTGCTCCAGAAAGAAAATAAAAGGCCCCACAATTGCCAGCTGAATTCCATTTTGGAGCTCCTTTTGTCTCGTTGTTAGTCGTCCGGAAATGCATATATTTATCTTTTATATCCTGAGGGTAGTAAGTTCCAAAATTAATTTGAGGCCAATGTAAAATCCGATTTCCCTCCACTGTGTGAGAAGCGATTTGACCCATCTCTAAACGTTGGCAGTAAAAAAAAATCACCCAGAATGTGCTGGACCCAAGTGAATTAGCTCACTTAACAATTTGACATCATTTCTCTTCCAGGCAAATATCACACGTCAACAATAATTGAAAATAATCAACCACGTACTGGCTTAGGCGTATTCGTCCAATTACAAATTGTAGAAAAATCCCGAGCAGCAATGTCATCCAAAACGAAAGGCAACTTTGGAAAGAGTGCCTGCAAGGAGGAAAAAGAGAATCATGAATATAATTTCGGTTTTCATTTGTAGTAACCAGTTTTTCTTTTGAAAAAAAAAAGTGCTTACAATGATATCTCCCTGGGGTGCTGGCAGCTCTTCCCCATCAAGAATCAGCATCTTCATCTGCCGTCGGCAGTCCTCAGACTGCCCTACGCCCTCTAGTGTATATCTTGCCTCCTCGGAGTGGTTGGACGGTTCTGTCTCTCCAGGGAGCGATACCGGAAGATGTCGGTCAGCCGATGCTGGGGCTGGAGTGGAGCACCGTAGATCACTAGTGGAGTTCGTCAGCGTCTCAAAAGAACCAGTCGGGGCGCATGGGTTGACAATTCCTTCAGCTGACGAGTTATACATCTAAAGATGAAACTTGCATAGTCAATCTTAAGACACTCCTATGTATTCTGTCTCTTACTGACCAAAGACGTGTCTTATTCACTTCATCTTGATTTGGCAAAAAAGCAGGCATAGCAACCAAAAAATACGTACCTTCCACCATGATAGGCTTTTAAACCTCTTATGTACACTATGTCATCTTTGACCGAACGTCAAATTATTTCTTGTACAACTGAAAAAATTCTGAAACTATGTTTAGTCTCTTGCCTCCAACACAAGTCGCTTCTTAAACCTTGCGTCAGCCGCATTGAGACCGTAACAAGGAAACTCCCGCGTGTAGAGTGTATACTTCTCAGAGTACACTCGCATCTGTCTCCACTCATCCGTGGGGGTTAAGGTAGTTACATCTCCCCCACCTGTTACGGCAAAGGTGATACGTAGTGAGGTGGTCCGTATGTTAAGAAGGCCGTGAGTTGGTCTCAACATGTCCAAAGCCTCTTCTCCCCTTCCAACTGTCGAGTCCTTTTCAATAAAGAAACAAAACCCTTTGATTGAAATTGACGGTATCTCAGGATGTCTTCTTCCAAAGGAATACCTGTTAAGTAGACACGGCATTATGAAATTAACAGTAACTTATATTCTGCCTCGAGTATTGTAGCTTGCAAAACCGACATTTTAGCACGTACGACCACTGATATAAACGACATTTTTGCAGAAATACTCCTACTTTGATAGTCACGAGTATTACTGCAGTTGGTAATTTCATTATACCAACCTCATTGATTGGCACATTAAAAACATTGTTTCTTTTAATATTTCAGAACTTATTATAACAGGTGTAAGAAGAAGTACATTAGTGGTATTTTTTATTAAGAAGTATTCTCAAACCATCACATGTCATTTTGTTGCCGCGGAATTGCCCAAATAATATTCTTGGATTGTCTGTGTACGAGTTACTGAGACCTACAAGAGTCTAAAACAACAGTCAGTGTCAGATAAAGAAATAAGCGCACGAGCTTCCGAAGGCCAACCCAGTTAATCTTCGTTATAATGTCCATAGCAACAACCATCTGATTGTATGAATTTGGAATCGTTAATTTTTCTTACTGCGGATAGACAACAGTTGTACCCACAGGTGGGTGACTGCATTTCCTTTGAGCATCTTACGTGCGACTGCTGCAGTCGCTCTACAGGTACACTGAAAATTTGCCGAGTTATAAATTTAACTCAAGTGAGAGTGAAAACTTTCACCTATTAAATTGGGTGTTTATAGTTTTAATCCTTCTCTGAGTTAAAATCTAATCCATACATTTTCAATGTAAGTTAATACCCAGTTTTATTTAAGTGCAATATTGTTCCAACCATGCAGCCGAGCCTCGAATGGTAAGAAATCTTCATTTGGGCAGAGAATCTCTGATGAGCAGCGTGCATTTCATGTGATTCCCGTCGCCATAGTTACCGCGAATTCTTTGCCGCAGTACCCGTTGAGACCAAACCGTCAGGACTAAGACATTTTGCCAAATCGACCAGCAAGTTTCTGAATGTGTCCTGGCCTTTATGCAAAGTTTTTCTAAGTTGATGTTTTCTTCTAAGCTATAATCAACGAATCACCATTTAAACACTCTTTTCCACAACCAAGGCACGGTACCGTACTCAAAAAAGCGAAAATTAATGACAGCGGTTTCAGGACCGACGCGTTTTGTCCTGATAACGGGGCTGATTCTACGTGCGAACACAGGCTATCCACACAACTGGTTTGAGTACGGGCAATCTTGCTACTTCTTCACTGACCACCGGGTATCATTGCAAGACGGTAAGGCATACTTGTGAAGAGCGTCATGGAAACCTCCCGGTGATCGAGTCGGAAGGAGAGAATGCATTAGTTGCAGAGGAAATGCGCTGTCGAGGGAAACTCACGCTTGGCTCGGATGCAACGACATCAACACGGAAGGGGAACGGATCTGTTACTCAGAATCCGTTGATGGCTAGAAGATGCAGTTCGCAAGTTGGAATCCAGGCGAGCCGAATGAGTTAACCAACGGCATCAAGCAGGACTGTGTTGCACTTTATTTCAAGGGAGGGTGGATTGATGGGAAGTGTACGGCAAACAAGATGATCACAGTGTGTGAGATCAACAGTACAGCCACAAAGCAACTCATTCAGCCATCAGTTGCGTCACATGCCAAACCAATAGCCTGCTCATTCGTGGCCACAGGTGGCCACAGATGGCTACCTGTCAAAAGAGTAATTTACAAATCAGCAACCCTTCCCAGATCGAAACTTATTTCCTTGAAGTCATCTTTCGCTTTTATTTCCGTGAGACATTTACCCTGGCTATATAGTAAACTTAAGGGAGATATCTTGAAGTCATAAACGTGGCAAAGGGTTGCCCTATGTGTACAGTTTTTGGATGCCACTGCTAAATAAACCAAAACCACATCTATTTTTAACTGCTGTCGACACGGACATTTCAACATCCCCAGGGAGCAAGAATGTCCTCAATCGGTTCGTACAATCTTGGAGACAGGCTTTATCTTTTTTAAGGACTTACGGAATTTAAGTTCCCGAGCGCTGCGTTTTCAATGATCCATTGATACCTAGCGATGTCATCGTCTGTCACCGCGAACGGCGCCTCAGTGTTCGCCCGGCTGGTGTTGAAAGGAAATATGGCGATGATTTCCCGGACTGCAGTGAGGCTGTCAGGTGGTCTGCGGAACAGAAATTTAAGAATGTGTGTATGGGGTTGACTGGATGTTTGGCATATACATGTACATAGCGTGATCACATCAGGCCTCAGGATATGCATGTGTACCGTTTCCGAATTGCAAGTGGTGGGGCGACTGGGGGCGACGATTTTTCATGGGGGCGTCCCCCCCGCAGCCACACCGCTGCTCACGCCTCGTTTACACAAGGTGGTCAGCACGTGAGCAGAATTCTGATTGGAACGTATCGGCCTTTATTGCGATTCCATTAACTATGCGTTCACTTCTAACATTCACTTTGTGGGGCTGTTATAAAAGTCACTTTTGATTTCATCTCTCGCTTACTGTGCTGAGTTGACTGTGTCCCTGGTGATGAGGTACACCTCCGTGTCCTGGTGGTTGTCTGCCGGAATGACTCGACTGATTGTTTCCAAGCAAGACTGCAGAAACATCCGTGGCTTCTCCAAAGTCTTGGTCTCTGTTTATTGAACCAAGCTGATCCAAATGAGGTATTTATGAAAACTGCAGGCACCCTCAATGAATTATCTTAGTTTTGGAGATGGAGAAAGCAGTGGCTTGAAACAAGCGTGAACTTTATTTCGGAGAAAAGTAACCATGCAGTCAGTAACAAAATAGTGTTGAAGAAGCCAATGATGGTACATGTTCTAGGATTGGTAGGCCCCTATGGCATTTTGAGTCGAGTGTGCTAGTCATCTAAAGTTGTAATTTACAATCGTTTTCTATAGGTCATCAATACCACGAGGTAAGAATGAATCGCAGTTGAAAAAAACATGACACGCATGAACAGGTTTTTGATACATCTTTCAGATGACAGGCGCTTCGCAATATGAAACTGGAATATAATACCCTGCCCAGTAATATTAGTTAAAAGCAACAGAATGAACTCACCCTGCTGACACGAATAGGGCTGGCTTTCCACAGGAGACATAGTTCTGTTGATATCGTAGCTCCAAGAGAAGAGCTTCGGCTGGGGAGTGGAGGTACTCATATCGATTCGGATGACAATCCCATAACGAGTTACCTGCAAGGCAAAGTTTAAGAACAAACGGACCTACATTATATGGGGTTTCAGCTTTGACGGCCCGAATGCAAATATCGTGTTGTACTGAAAGTGGGCTACATAGTATTGCTGCTGTTTCATATTTTTGTATTCATTTGAATTTGTGATACCATAAGGGTAAAAAAATGAATGGCTCTCTTCAACGACATAAATTTTCATAGTTTTGCAAACACCGAATGTTTTTGACTGGAAGTGAATCAGGAAATGTACAATAATGTATACGCGAGACGATAAACTGCAAGTTGAGAAAAATGAATGTATTTTTTTCTTTGTTCTTACCTCTGTCTCTACGACGGCCCCTGAGTCCTCCTCACAAGTATCAAAATCAAATGGTTTATTGATGATCACAAAAATAAACATACAGGTTATGGTGATCAAGGTCCCGATGGTTACCAAGGAAACCGTCAAAGGATTACATTTCAGTCCCCCAGACATTGTGAAGACAATACAATAATGCTACGCCAATTCCTGATTCTTGTTAATTCAAGTCTGCAAATGCAATGAAAAGCAAAGTATGATCACGGAAAGGTACAAATAAAACCGACATTTTTTCCTTGAGGAGTAGTTGTAAATTGTACCTCACAGCCAACACAATGAATAGTAGGTCTACATGTACCCTAAAGCCGTAAAATTACCACGAATAATTAGTTTACGATGTCAGTTTGGAACACTTCATCCCAGGAAGTCACGGTATACTAAAATAAAATGTCGTGCATTGCATACCACGTGCTGGGCCTTTGCTACAACTTTGTGCCCAAAAAACTCAACACGGAAAGAACTTGCACACATAATTCGGTCAGACTGAGTGGGCTTACAAACCTATTATGAAAATAGAAAGTGCACAAAGAGAGTCTATTTGAGAGCAGAAAAGGAAACAGGTAGACGATTTGGGTAGCATTTTCTTTACTGCGCTGCAGACTAACACAAGCATCTTTCATTGAGCAACTGTGATACCATCGGCGCATTGTCAGTTGGATTGTCGTTTTAATCTGTGAAGTATATTATTTCCAGTAGTTATCAAGACCGGCGGCGGTAAGTTCCAGTCACTTTGCAGTCAAGGATTATACTGAAATCGAATCATTATGATCAGACAAGTACTCCTCGCTCATGAAGAAGAAAAGAACAGTTACCTTCAAACCCCGAGGTGAACGACGCCATTAGTAATTTTCTCTAGCATCTCACTGTAATGGTACGTCGGCGGGATAAAAATCGATTCTACTGTCAAAAGTGTCAGCAAGGAGGCAGGATAGCAATGCAAACCAACCGGCGTCTTCTAATCGATACCTGTCTTTGTGTAACATCTCTGAATTATTCCGGCGTAAGTCATCATCGGCAGCGGAAAGAACATGCCACATTAGGGAACCACTAGTCCCCACAGGCTCAATTAAACTGAAGGGTTAGGTTGTTGGTCTAAGTTTTGCTCTTGATCTCCACGGTTATGTGCTTTCTCTGCCATGAGGAAACGACACTTTACCGAGCAGAATATCTTTCTTTTTTCAATTGTTGTGCCAAAGAACGACTTTTGATCGACTCTGCTAGTCAGAATGTCGCGATCGAAGTCATAAATCCTATCCACTCTGACCAGAAATAGCCCCAAACCGGTCAAGACGAATCTACTAGGCGCCCAGTGCACATCCCCACTACAGACATTAATCAACCATGGATAATGCAATGAAAACAAGCCCTATTCAGCCACAAAATTCATTTTTGTTTTAGAAAGTTACTTTTATTGTACTTCAGTCCAGTCAAAGTGTAGGGTGCTGAATGATAGATTAGATGATCCCAACCTTTGGAATCACCTCAAACGCCGAAGGTAATTGGCGACATACCCGACATTTTATTGCAAGTTCTTTGACTTGGATCCCGATCTAGACGATTGGAGACGCTCCAGGTCAATGAAAATAGACTTTTTGCTCCGAATTCTACGTCAGGGATAAATGCAGTTTTTGCATATCGCTAGATCCGACTTCCATTAGACCAGTGTCAATAGACTTAGAAACATAATCACGACACGTGTTGTTTACACGTGCCCTTTCTTATGGGGCTCGTCCCAGCTTCACTGTCATAGGTAAGTGCATATGCAAACAAGACGTGACGTCATATTTAGGTCTATTGCCTGTGGTAACTTATCTTTGGCCACGCCCTTTCTGCTTGCGAGTGCATTGCTGTGCCAACCCAGTTTCCAAGCATATACGTCCAACTGACATTTTTAAAAACCTCATTGACAATTTTGATTAAACACAAACAAGCAAGAAGAAATGGGCAGAAATAAGTAACACCTCAAAGGACAAAATTTTAAATCAACTGTGTGCAAAGTTTTGGCACTGATATAATATCTTTGTCATTTAAAAAAAGCTCCATGTATGGAAGAAATGAATGCAATAAATCTTGGATTGCTGTTAAAGTTTTTACAAAAGACACAAGTCAGGAAAAAGCTAAGCTCGGTCAAGATACACCAAATACATGTAACTCAATTAAGTACAAAAAGCTACTCTAATTTTGGAAACTCTGTTAAAGTCTTTAAAGCAAACCAAAATGTAACTACGCCTGTCGACTCATCATGGTTCTTGGTGGTCAGGTCAACTTAGATTTCAGTCCGTCTAACAAATGAGATTAAGGAAACAAGACAGCTTCTGGAATTGAGAGTCAGTACCCATCCTTGATCTAGACAGCTGCCTGGATGTCCTTCAATGTCCTGATAAGCTCCTCATTGGCAAATTTGAGGCTGAATTCGGGAGCTGCTAGCTGTGCACCCATGGTCACCCTGCTGTTCTTGTGAACCATCAGTGAATCCTGGATGCTACGTGCTGAGCAGTGAAATTCTTTGGCGCCTGACCCAGTCAAAATGCGGTCCAGATTTCTAGCATTGATTGCTCCACCTTCACAAAGAAATGCAAGCAAAACTGAATTGATTGCTGTCTTACAAGCCACACTTGTGTGTGGATTTTGAATATTCTGATGTGCTCATCTAATATGAAGCTGCCACAAGTTTGCACACATTCATTAATAAATTGGTCACATCTTAACCATTCAAGCAAACCAATGCATTCGGACTACTATTGCTACCTTTCATGAGTAGGACAACACTGCCCTCTACAGTCTCTGCACTGACCCTTTAATGTACATTTTGTGACACCCACCTGGCATAACAGTGATTCGGTTGTTGGCTATTTGGATCAGCTCTCGGATGAGGGGAAGTCCCTCCAAAGCAGATGACTCTTGGCCACTGGTCAGAACCCTCTCGAACCCCAAAGAAATCAGGACTTCCAGTGAAGCATGGGGATCGCGGCACATATCAAAGGCTGGAAGGATTGGAGACATGAGGTGCCTATTAATTTGGAAAATTCCTGTTGGTTATAAATAGTAGTATTTGGTGGTTATTAATTCCAGTTTATAGACTCGGCTTACCTCTGTGGAATGTAACGGGTAAGGGTCGACTCAGCTCTGTAAAAGTTAGACAGAAAACACTTCAAAGACAGACAATGATCAGCACTTTTGTCTTGAATTTCACAATAATTTGTGCATACGCTTATGAGTAAGTTGTTGATAAAATTCTTACCGATGAATTCTTTGCAAACTTCTGTATCAATGCTCCCAGAGCTTAGAAAATAAACAAAACAATTGTTAAAAATAAGCTTTTTTTAATTTCCAATTTGAGTATTCCAAACATTTAAACATCTTCAATGGTTTTCTGGCTATGAGATTATTTCTGGTACTCTGTAATAATTGAATGAAGCATTTTCATATGTGTCATTCAGTATTTATGGCCTTTTTACATAACTGACCCAAATTTGGCTATTGCTTAGAATAAGTGAAGAATGATGCAGGAAAGAATGGAAGGGCACCATGAAATGTCCAATATTAATTTCTGTTCATGAAAACCTCCTTAGGATCTTCCATGGTTCACTTTCTGTCCTATTGAAACTTGATCTCCATAAATTCCAAACCTTGTGAGGGCGCCAAACACAATGCCATCGGCACCATTCTCTTTGCAAAGTTGGATGTCTTCTCTCATGACTTCAAGCTCTTCGGGATCATACAGGAAGTCACCTGCTCGCGGCCGAATCAGAGCAAACACAGGTAATGTGGTCACAGCTTTCACGATGCGTAGCAACCCTGGAATTTCAACAGAAATTAGAATAAAAACAAATTAAGTCTGGAAAGGATTACAAGTGACAATTCTTCTCATGTTTAGGTTGCACTTTTCAATCAATCATCAGTTGTAACTCACCGAGACTTGCTGTGGTGCCTCCTTCGGAAAGACCTGCACATAATTCAATTCTTGTTGCTCCTGCAAACATTAGAAAAATGAAATTTTACGACAAATGTCAATGAATGTACAAAACTCAAAAATATCACCCCTGCCAAGTCAGTTACTTCTGCTTATTCCTTGTTCAACTTGTGCGTAAATGAATGTACCTTCAGCAAGGTGACCGTACAGTCACCAGATCCCTAATTTCGCCACCTATTGTCAAGTCTGATTGGTTTTCACAGTAAGTGGTGAAATAAAGGACCTGGCGACTACACGGTCACCGATGTTAGAAGTACCATTGTCACGATTGTGATTTTGAGACTGATGAACTACACTAAATACGATGAAGAACAAACAAAAAATAAAAAAAGAAATATCTTATTTTTTGTCATAAGAGGTTGCTACATGTATGTGCACATGTTCATCACAAATGAGCAACGTTTTCAACTTCAACTTATTATTTTAGGCCTACGTCAGGAGAAATTGCAGAAGATCCCGCCACTCTAAAAGACAACCCCTGGAATGACTGGTTATGTGGGTACAACGACAACTTCACTACAACAAGGTAAAAATCCAAGAGTGTGACACTTCAACCTGTACCTGGGTATGATGAGGTTGATCATGCGGGGGGGCGGGGTATTCTGCAGTTGAGCTCTACGTCATTACATAATACCGTGGAGGAACATACACGCCAAGTCATAGAGTCACATAACATACATGAACATGAGTGATACCTCCATGCTCATATATACTGAGGATCTGATGATTGGGCCTTGGCGGCTAGGCTAAATAAATTATAGCGATTTCCTTCATGATCATAGCTTCGCAAACCGAGACAAAAATCAACATGTCTACACTCACCACCCCTTTCTGCAGCAGTTGCAGACCGTACTGAGTCAACACATACTTCCATGGTTTATATCATCTCTGAGTGAGCCGAAAAAAGGAATTTTCAAGCAACTTCAACACGTGCCTTACAATAATAGTCTGGTAGAAGTGTTTATATACATGTACGTGCTTTAACTGACACAATTGCCTTTTTGCATACTAGGCACCAGACGCTCAGTGGGAATGTTAGACTGGTCCTAAGTCTGTTTTGTGTTGCGGTTATGTTTTACCCGGCCCCCTCGCGCGGGCGACTAACCCCACAGTTCTGGGGGTATGTATTTTTTCCCCTGTCCCTTCAAGCTACGGTAATTTGGATAAGTGTCATTTATCTGGTCCACAAAAAAAGTAAGTCTTTACCAGCACTGGAAAATTCCACTGGAAAAGGAGGAGGGATCAAAAAGGCTTTTATTATACATGTAAATGGAAAGTACACCCGGAGTCCTAGCCTAACGCTCGACACATGGTCCAGTCCAACGTTCTATCAAGTCATCACTGCCACTTTTACATTGGACGAGTCCATTCAAAGATCAGGAGTAACTGTCAGATGATAACAAAAAGTGGACGTCATTTGATGAAAATGTCACGAAAGATATATCAATAAATGGCAGTGTCCTGTTAAAAATTTCTTATTTTCCATATGCGCGTGCGTGTACCTGATGATTGTTTTAATTTGCCTCAGTTGAATAGGAATGACGAAATTAACATAAGTGTAGTGCACATCTAGTATTTTGGTGCGGCAGAGAAAACTCTTGTAGTCACGAAAAGAACAATGACCCCCCGCCCCGGAATCATAATTATCTAGGGCCATTGCACTCTGAATGACGGTATCAAAGACTGTCAGATAAACCGCTACCACGAAAGTGCAACAGATACACCTAAACTGTGTCCTTCTGGAGGCAAACCAGCCTTAGGTAAAGTGCAGAGGGGTCACCTGAACTTTACAGGGGACGGTCACAAAGCTCCTGCACTTTCGGCTGTCGTTCATCATTATTTTTCTTTGCAAAATAAAATAAACTGTCTTTTAAGAGCAATACGATGTTATTCGTGGGTATAATTATTCATAACGCTGTGCATAATATGATGGTGTATTCACACATTTTAAAAGAAAGGTCAGAAGTCTAGATGGGTTTGAGGAAATTCAGTCGTTTATTGCAAATTCTGAAAGGACTCGACTGTAGCCACACTTCATTTGAAAAAAATAATAATACCAATGTGGCCCACAATTTCTTGTTTAAGACCTACAGCCAGCTGATGGAGATGATATCGCTGCGTGTTTCCTGTGGCTGAGCATGCCAGTGAGTTGAATCAGTTGTGTGGTGAGTTTCCCCGGGGGTTTCATTCCATGTCAGTAAAAGTTGAGCCTGCTATTTTATTACGTGTACAAGTATTTGTGAACTTTACACGATTGAGATTGATGGGATGGGATAGATGGCCTTTGAAGGAACTTAACCCCATAACAAAAATACAGCATTATTTTAAATTAGGGTCATGTTTTTGAGGTTAGTGCTTCCACCATACGTTCAAAACGCGATAATTTATACTATACTCAACAAAAATATACAGATGGATTTCTTCTCTTTGAATGTATGGTTTAGATACTAAATTTGCTTTTTCATCCCAACCAAAACTCCTAGTCTCATGAACAATAACACTAACAATGCAACTAATTGGAAAACAGCTTTTGCAATGAAAGGTTTGTTTCATTTGGGGCAAACGAGGGTACATTTTTACTCCCTTTTCCGACAAAAGGTTACCCATTCCGTCCCCAGCACGCCCTTCAAGGGTGTTGATGGCAGCTCTTTTTGAGTTGAAAGATTTCTTACCAAATTTCTCACAATGATTTGTTGTGAGTGTTCGACACGTGTGCTAGCATATTCATGCATACTCCCATTCCGCCGCTTTGCAATGTCTCTGTACTCATTAACTACGATCACCCTCATTTGTCGGCACGCGGGCGAAGGTTTACTTAACCTGATAGACAAGGCCTAGGGAGTTATAATCAGAACCAAAATGCAATTCAAGCAAGGTGCTCTTTGTTGGTCTCTTTTCAGCCGTTATGAAGCGGACCAGTTTCTCAGCCCACTCCACCCGATCCCCACTATTAATTTATAAGGTGCTGTAAGCGCTCACCTAGCCAGTTACTCTGACTTCCAATTACAATTACTTACACTGAAGAATGATACTTTGAAAAAGTCTACCGACTAACAATCCCACAAATAGTATAAAAATAATTGTCTTCCAACAACTGTACAATTTTGTGCAAATTAAACTTGATTGAATTTAATACATTCAATAAAGGCTCCCCTCTCAAAATACAGAATTATAACGAAGAAATACTTTCCACACTGGCGTTAAACAATTGTAGTAAATTTGGCTGAATGCTGTGTTTAAATTGGGCATTTCAACACGTTTACACGAAAGAAACAGGAAGGGGAACGTTATCCGTAACGAAGTACGGTGTCTCCTCAGAGCCATCATCTGGAAACCACAGTTGAGTGTCGGGCAAATTCTGCTTTTTCCAATAGCGTTTCTGTGCCATGGCAGATGGTGCTCCCACGGATGAACCCGGAGGTGGTGTTATTAATATGACAGGCGGTATAGGTGCAGACTTATTCATATTGACGTCCAGAGGTAGTTCCTTTCCCAAAAGTGTTGAATTTTCTGAATCAAAGGAGATTTCAGAGTGACGAAATATTTTTAAGGTCTAGATAATTAACGCTTGACCTAGTCTGGTCCGGTTTAGTCTGATCTGATAGAATCCAGTTTCAGGTCGTCACCCGTCACCATCCTCTGTCGTCCTGTGTATGAGTTCTTGTTATCACTATATACGCTCTGGGCTATTTATTCTTTAAGGACTTCAGAAAAAGATATTTGCAAATATAAATTTAAAAATTGCCCATTATTGTACTTACCTTTTAATTTGATAGACGAGATGCTGATGTTCCTTTGGTGTTTAGGTTTTGAATTCTCCTGACTGAACATGAAGAAGACAGCAATAAGGAATTGTATTGTTGTCGAGGAGGGAAGGTCATAGAGACTGCCTTTCTTAAAGAAGTTAAAAAGATTAATTCGTAGAGGTTGATGGGAATGTCCAATTTTGTTTTAGAAATTTGAATGAGCGGGCTTACGTTTCATCAGAGATGATTGTCTCCTCGTCATCCTTTTTGGTCTTGGAGTCCAACATTGAAAATCCTTTCCTCCGTATCCAGCAGTGGAAGAAAATGGCCATAGGAATGAGTGTCAGCAATCCGAAGACGACCCCCAAAGCCCACCATACTGGGCCTTGAGTTTTTGAATTCAAGCCTGCGTCATCACTTGGCGGCAATGAACTTGAGGGGACATATAATACTCGCCCGTTATCTGGCAGTATCGTCTCAGGCTTAGGAATGACTGTTGGCTGATGTTGCATTGGTTGAATCGAGCTGTTTTCCTTCCCCGTACTTGTCAGAGGAACTGTGCTTACTATCGACAGTTGTGTCAACGTGTCGACGAGCGGTGTCGACACTGTGGAGACTTTTGGTGTAGGCCCATTTTCGTGAATTGTTGCTGTACCGCTTAAGTTGGTTACGTCTTCTGGCATGACATGTGTTCTCTGGTTGCTCTGCTGTCGGGTTGTAGGAGTTCCTGAGTAGTTGACCTGTTTGTCCGTTGTTGCCAGCGAGGTTAGCTGTGTCATGATGGTGGCATCAGTTCTTGCTCTCAGTGAATGTGAGCTTGCAACCACTGTAGTGTTGCCACCGGAAGAGTCTGTGTAGTTCTTGTTAAATCCAGGTGTAAAAACCGATGGTGTTGTGTTTTTCAAACCCACCGCTGGAGTTTGTATCAAAGAGTGGGGAGAGCCTGCTCTCTGTGTCCTGGACGAGATAACTGAAGTTGACATTTTTGTCGTGACAGTTGAGGAATATTGCCCAGCTTCGTCCATTACCTTAGTTGTTGCCTGTCGTACCGTTGTTGTCTTCGTCTCAGTGCAGTTTGGGCCAGTGAACGGATCGACACAGTCGCAAACATGGTGGGCTAGCCTAGTCTGCGACTCCACCACTGATCTACACGTAGAATGATTGGGACACCTCGGGTCCCGACTTTGATCGCATGCGGAACCTGTACATGACAACAAACCGGCACACCGTCATCATGAAATCACTGTAAGTTGACTTCAGTCAATATTGTTTTAACAGAAATAAAACTTACGAGTCTTCACATATTCATACCTCCTCTGCAAGTAGCCTCACTTTCATCCGACCCGTCTTCACAGTCCATGACGCCATCACAACGGAAATTAGCCAAGATACACCCTTCAGTGTAACCGCACCTCACCAGCCGGACAGCTGAATCAGCTACGCAGTCAGTCACTGACGAGATATTATGAGGGCATGGGAGTTTTATGATCAATTTTTGACAATCTTCAACTGAAAAACAGACGGACGTGGCTAGACAAGTGACTGACAAAGAGACCTACTAGTTTTTGTTCACAGTAAAAATTTATATACACTGGACAGTAAAAGAAACTTGCTACTTCTGTCAAAGGCCACACATAAAAATTCACTCCATACTCCATAGAAATAAACAATTTTTCTACACCGGTATGCTGCAATACCCCCTTACTAATCACACGCCCAAAAGCAAGTGATTATCTTCATAACAAAGAAGAAATTGACATGCACGGCAAGTTGGTTACTGAATCAAAAGTCACACACAAAAGCACTCTCCACCAAGCAAAAATGACCCATGAATGGACCAATAACCAACAAACAACCAATAACAAAGTGAACAACTGTTTTGTCAAAATGATGTGCATGAGTGGTTTCTGTATGGGGATGCCATCCTTACTGACTATGCATACACATTATTGAAAAGTAATGATCATGACTTCTTTATTTCGTCCTGTGACGTTGATTTCTGCGTAAAACTTAAGGCTC